GAGGAGGCAGCGCGGAGGTGATGGTACGAACAAAGATGAAGATCCAAATGAAGATTGGTGTGCTGTGTGCCAAAATGGAGGAGACCTTTTATGTTGTGAGAAGTGCCCAAAAGTCTTTCACTTAACGTGTCATGTACCCACACTCCTTAGCTTTCCAAGGTATAGCAATAATATATTTGCATTTTTTTTTTTCCCCTCGGTGTCTCTTCCTACGACTGTATGCATATGTGTATATTCAGATACAGTTGGATTATAATGCTGCCTGCAGGAGGACTGAACATTGGCTAACAGAAAAAAATGTATGCCAACCTCCATTTAACCTCTTCTCTACCCAGCTTGCCACAGTTCTTTTGCTAGTGTTTTAGGTTGGAAACCTTTTCCTTTGTTTCCCAATTTTCGATGTGATGCTTTTCAGACCTGAGTGTACTGTTTGTTTGTTTTTTAAGCTTTAGAGTGCTTTCCAGGTGCGGCATCTCAGATGTGACCCTGTCTCTGAAGACTCATTTAGTGAGCAAGGTCAGTCAAGCTTGCAGCACTGGGTGCTACCTCTCTCTAACATTTGAGCACCTCTTTTTTAATTTCCCCACCATTTCCAGTTTATCACATCAAGGAGTAAGATTGAGGGAACTAGTACTAATATCTGTTGGGTGGGTCGACGCACACTTTCCCCATTTAGGCTTCAGGAAGAGCTATTTTTCGGCTACTGCTCTTCCTGCTTCTGAAGCAGTATCTGGAACTCTGCTCTTTTTTTTTCACTGCCTGCCTACAGTGACCTGGCCAATTCAGACCACCCTCAACACCAATTGCCTGGGTTTGTTAGTATTAGTGGCCTTGCCTCATACTGGGCCTAGTTGCATTACCATCTATGTGGAAGAAACATATCTTGGCTAAGACACACGGAGAACAGTCCCACTGCCCACAGTGAACTCTGTCCATTTCCGAGGCTCCAGTCTTGCCCCCCCATAAGTTAGTTTACCATTCCTTTCTTCAGTCTCCAAGATTGGACATCGCCTAGGTGTTGCTATGTCTTCACTTGGGAAAGATCTCCATGTCTGGTAGTCTCTGCACTGAATAAGGTCTGCTCACCTGGGTTCTCAATTGTCTGTGTGGAAGGCAGAAAATATTGCTGCAGGATTCAGTATCCCATTAGACTAAGAAAAGGTGTAACATGCTGGGTTCCTACTGCAACCACTCTTTTGGGGGTAAGCTGTGTTTGGGGAGTGTGATTTGGAAGGGACCTGATTGTCTTGGACTTGGGTCCTCCTCTTGCTGCTGTTCTGAGGTCTTGTGAGAGATAGGTGCTTTCCCTTGTTCTGGCCTAATTTAGGTGAATATACTTACAGATATTTTGCTGGACTAGAGTGGCTTATAAAATGCTTAGGACTTTGTTCTGGATTAGGCAGGTCCTGCAGAGTTCTTCTGTCAGAACCCAGAAACACCTCTGGGTGTTCATCCTATTTATTTCTGGCACACCTTTTACCAGTTTGGCGCACCAATCTACCTGGTGTGTGTGTCTGTGTGTGCCTCTTATGTGCATCCTACCCTCTTTAGTGAAACAGACTTTTTGGGATCATACTCTAGATTCCTCCACATGTCCCAGGGAACACTAGCAATCCTTTTTGGGTTGTTCTGCTGTGCTGATTCTATCATAATTGAGATTTCCTATTTAGGAAGTTAGACAACCTTCTTCTCATGGAGTCTTCCTTCCCTGAATCCGAAGGATCGCTTGTGGAAGGCTTGGGTGTTTCTCTGTAGACCAGATGATCTTTTCTTGCAAGCCTGGGGTTGTCTGATGTCTGAAGACCTGTTCTCCTGGATGCTTACTCCAGTATTTTTCTGTAAATACATTCATATTTGTGGTCTTTTTGTCTGTCCTAGTCACATAGTTTCTATCTGTTGTGGGTTGTTGATTCGCAGCCTCTTATCTCATGATCATCATTGTCTTGGACTTGAGCATTGGGTAGAACCCCAGGTGGCTTCCTCCTGGGGATTGATTGGTAGTTTTCTCATCTTGCAGGGGCTTTCTCAACAGGTTCACATTTGGGTGTTGGTCCTTCAGGTGGTTCTGACTTAGTTTTAGTCTTTTTTTTTTTTTTTTTTTTTGTCTTGTCAATTCCTTTTTCCGCCCCACAGTTTGACTGCATTTGGACATCTTTATCTGTATCTGAATTTTTGTGTAAAGAAAATAAAATTTATGTACTTAATGCAGGGCTCGACAAAACCCAGGTGCCTGGGCTTTTGTCAGCCCATTCATGGACAGGTCTCCCCCTCCATGAACTAGTGGCCGACACTCACTTATCACAGCTCGGGCTAGCTTAGCCTCGCTTTCCCTTCCCCCAGGTCAGCTGTGCCCGGTACAAGGCCTGGCAGGGGAGGATCCATGAGTGTGCAAGAGGGGTGGAACCTGCACTACTTTCCCACACTCACTCTCAGGTGCTTGCCTACAGGGCTGACGTCAGCATACAGGCAGCTTAGACAGCTACTTGAGAGCCCCCAGTTC